AAAAAAAAAAAAAAAAAAAGTGGACATACTTGTCACCAGTACACATGCGCGCGCGCACACACACACACACACACACACACACACATTTAATAGTTCACCTATATATGCTAAAGTGATAAACACATGTACAAGCCAAAAAAAAATAGACAGAGGGTAGGGCGTGCAAAAAAGGAAGCTTTGCGCTTTGCTGGTGTAATTTCTAAGAAGATTAATAAGTATTTGAATGCCAGCCTGCTCACACAAGATTTTGAAAAGCTATTTTTCTGCTCTAAACCAGGGCTGCAATCAGCTGTTTTAACTCAGAGTCCCAGCATGTAACTCTCAGGTTGTGAGGCTATTTATAACTGCAGAGCAAAGCTGCTCCCGCCATCTCGAAGTATGCCAGACCCTAGGAAATATCACTAGTCCATGTCACTTATTTCAAACACACTGGCGATACAGAACTCCTCCAACCTTTGGGAGAGCTTTCACACTAGGAATGCTATAGAAACAAGCTAAAGGGTCTACTGGCAGCGGGGGAGGGGTGTTCCCCTCATCTTTCCCAGATTCAGCACAGTTCCTTGGAATTCAGATGTTTGTCTGAAGAACTGGAATCCAGTTGTGTTTGTAGGACCACCCATGGTATCACCTCATGTAGATATGCGTGCATTTGTTCCAACAAATATTTGCTGAACTTTTCCTACTGGTAAGACACTATGGTTCTTCTCTCACCACACAAGCACCCCTGACAGTACCTTAACCCATATATAACCAACCATCCTATGCAGTGCTGTGACAAAGTTAGGCTCGTGGAGACCACATCACAGATAATTGCAGAGGACAGAGAGGTATCACAGTTGGTTGGATCTGACTTGAGCATCATAAAAAGAAACAAGAGAGGAAGTCCCAGGAAATTTTCACCTCCACAATGTAGTCTCCATTACAGCCAGACTTTTACAGGTCTTGTTCAAAACGGCCTGGCACAAGTCTACAATGTTTGCCAAAAAGTAAATGTGCAGGCCGGGGATTTAGCTCAGTGGTTCCATTACTTGCCTTGCAAGCACAAGGACCCAAGTTTGATCCCCAGTACCATAAAAAAATTGTTTTTAAAAAAGTAAATGTGCACTAGGCATCAGTTCTATGAAAGAATAAAGGACAGAATGGTCCTAGACATGGCACTGACTTGACTAGCATGTACAGGGATGATTGAAAAATACATTGACTGTTTAACTTTTTTTAAAAAGTATACTGTACAAAAGATATGCTGTCAAGAATGATGGGATAAGTGTGATGTAAGCAATGGGAAAGTATTTTGAGGTAGGTTAGTAGTAATTTGCCTTTTAGTGTAATAAACTCTTTTTAAATTTTAAACATCTGCCATATATTTTGGCCTTTCAGGGCCTGGAGGTTCAATGAACGTAGGCTAATATAAAGACCAAGCTGAGACTATGTAAAGAGGCAGGCATTCCTGGCTGTCTGCCCCACAAAGGCATAGAAGGCTGAAACACTGTATGTTCAGACTCAGTTCACATAGCAGCTGCAAATTCCTCAACTTGCTCCCTGCAGATGTCACAATTTAATCCAGAACAGAGCAGGTGGAGAAAGCAGACTCCCTTCACAGTTCACCTAACAGCTAACGTTTGTACCTAAAATGGCAAGGAGCTAACAGAGCTGTAGCCCAAGACTACCAGATGGGCTACAGAGCCGTGGGAGGACTCACCCACAAGGCTCAGGGCTCCACCCTCGGGCCCCGAATAGGGGGGTAGGTGGGCGCCACTAGGACAGGAAAAACTCTGGCTAAACAGAAAGACTCTGTGCTTACGAATATGATGCCAGAGGATTGTTTAAATGCCAGGATTTCCTGGTACATTTTTAAATAGCTTTAAATTCAGTGTTAACCAGATTTAAGACAGTTTTTCATGAGTATAATGCATTAGCTGACATAAGACTCACTTGCAAAGTAGAAGAGAGAATGGGGTCAAACCCCATCAAAACGAGAACGAGGAGGAAGAAGAGGAGGGGGAAGGTTAAGATACAAAGAATGAAGGAGCACTACTTCCTCTGGTTACCTTCTCAGCACTCTGACTTCCCCTCGTACTGACTATATAAATAGCCTCTGGTTTACTTAACAATCCATCCTGAGTTAATTTTTACTACAGTGCAACCCCAGGATCAAGGTTCACCTTTTCCCACACTTAATACTCCATCGTTCTAGCACCATCTGTTGAAAAGCCCACCCATTCCAATGAACCACGGTGGCCCCTCTGAGCAGGTCTCCTGACCACATATATGGACCATCAAGCCTGTTGCGTGGATCTGGTATGTCTATTCTTATGGCAATATTACAATGTCCTGACTTCCTTCCATTGCTTTATAGTTAATCCTGAAATCAGGAAGGTAAGTCCTCTATGTTCTTTTCCAAAATTGTTTCAGCTACACTGAGTTCCTTTTATTTCCATATGAACTTAATAATCAACTTGTTAATTTCTTACAAATAAGCAAAAATAAGAAAAACACCACTTCTGGGATTTTGAATAGATTATACAGATCTTACAAAACAATTTAGTGAGAAGGCATCTTAATCATGTTAAGCTTTCCCATCTATAAACATAGTCTGTCATTCATTTAAGGGACCTACTAAAGTTGGGGGGCACAGTAACGAAATCTAGTGCTTGTTTGTCTTATCTGTCAAGAATGGAAACTGGGCCAATTTCTGGGAAATAATTTACAACTTTACGCAATTCTTGCAAGATACTTGCATGTAATAGATTCTACTGACAGAACAAGAAAGACATAAAAATGCACAGATCAAGAATGTGGAATTGGGCCAGAGATTGAAGCAAAAGTGGTGCTAATGCCTGCCTCAGAAGCACAAGGTCCTGAGTTCGATCTGTGGTACAAAAAAAAAAAATGGAGTTCAAACCCAGGACCTCTTTTCCCCAATTCAGATCCCAGGGTCTAAGATTCCATACAGCTCACTGAAAATTGAGAAGCAAAGGGAAGTGGGCAGGAGAGAGAGAGAGAGAGAGAGAGAGAGACACACACACACACACCAATGTCAGTTGTGGGGGAGTGTGCAGCTACAGGACAGCCACTGGATCCCAAAAGCTGCATGAGGCTTCCAGGTTCTCAAACAGGCTCACAGGACAAAAGGGAAGAAGTACTCATAAAAAGAGGTGAAAATAATCTCAGAGCAGGAAAACCTCCTTCTCCAAAGGCCCTAACTAAAGAGCCAAGAGAGGCACTGGGGCAGGATGTTCAGGGCCCATAAAAGATCCATTCTGGCCACCAAGACACAAAGAAAATTCCAAGGCGGGAAAGGCTAAGGAGCAGGGTAAGCACTGTGATTTCCTTTTCATTCCACAGAAAGTCATTTGCCTAAGGAGCTTGAAAGATGATGGCAGAGAGCAAATCTCTAATCACTGATACTTCTCATGTGTAAAGCACACTGGGTGGGTTAAGGAGAGAAGTCAGTGTGAAAGTCACACTAAGTGGAAGATTCATTCATTGGGTAGAATGCTTCCAAATCACACACAATGAATGGCGAATGAGTGGTGTGGATACGTCCTCTAGGTCATGCATGTCTGGAGATGGCTGTCCACGTAGTGTTGTCTATGTAGGATTAAAGGCCAATTCCTATGAGGGTCGGTGCACTTGTTTTGCTCTGAAGGAGTGATTTTTATTCTCCATATTTTTCTATATCTTCCAGATTATCTACAGTGAAGCCCAATTACTTTTTTAATAAAAAAGCAATATAAT